TAGTTTTGTTTATTAATATGTTTCAATTTTCGGTGAAAGTATGCAATCTTTTTAAGTATAAATCTTTCCCAAATTTGTTTATAGTTAGTTAAATAAAAAGGTTAAAAATTCTTCTACGGATTGACCTACTAATCCAGCTTTTAGTCTGAAAATTTCACTGAAAATTTCGAACAAATATCTTAAGCTTCTTTCTCTCATCAGTGATTCAATTAAGACGTCACTGATACATTATTAAAATCGCTTGTATGGAAAGAAAACGACAAATATTCAGCGCGATAAATATTCATACCTATTCCACAAACGCTGAGAAGAATCTAATTAATAGTCTACCAGGCTGAGTTAAGAGGAAGACCAGGATCGTATTAATCTGACATCAACTATTCCAACTACGCCAACTATTCTCCGCGAACATACCATCAAATATCCCTCCTGACACCTTCCATTCAGCACTCACCAACGGTACACGCACATATAAACCTCTCTCCATTATAATCTATCAAGCACGAATCCACTCGCTCTCTAAATTAATCAAAAATCTGTCTCCAAACAAACCTACTTCCTCGCGTTCGAATCACAGCAGAACTCCATTCCACGCAGTGAAAATTTCGATTCGAACAACGCGTCGAATGTTTCGACACAAAATATCGAGATTTCCATTGGAACAGTCCTTTAAAACTTGATTGCAAATTGCAATACTTTGGATTCGAACAACACGCGGCAAAGATCCACAGTGAGGTGCGGAATTTCCATTCGAGGCTCTCGAATATTCAATGAAATTTTCCCATTTTTACAAAGGAAACGGTGATCCCGCTGAACCCGAAGCTCTCACAGGTCTTCAGCCTTCGTCTCATAAATCTCGGTCAAAACAGCGTCGAGATAACCACTTTCAACGGTTCTCGAATATATCACCGCTAACAGACCTCGATTTAGATTAGAACGATTCTCAGTGGTTCGAGTCACCCATTTAGAGGGCCAGACACGCGACAAGGAAAAGAATTCCCATTGGAAGCTATTCGAAAGGACGTACATAATTATAATTGATAATTGAAATTTAAAAATAAGCCACCGATATTCTTCGCGATATTTTTGAGTTTTTACAATAAGCTTTTTATCCCACACGATTTCACGGCATGACGTCGTATTCTGTAGGGTTGTTTGAGGAAAAGACCGTGGAACAAAATTGTCGAAACCGTTTTCCTTTCCATTAAACCGAGAAAATATTCGTCGGTAACGTGTATACGAGATTTTGCCGTCACGCCAGCCATTGCTCGCTTCTCTAGTTTCGACAGTGCCGTAGTTACGCGTAATCTCAGTATCAAGTGTTAACATATAACAGACTACGAAAAATAAAAAGGGAAGGAAAAGAAAGGTATAAATAATAATAGAAATAAAAATATAGTTATGATTGAAGGGAATTTTGAAGATTTACAATAAGCGAGAAATATTTTAAATTTATAACTATTGTAGGGGCGAGGAATAAGGGAGGAAGTGGAGGAAGGACACGTACGAGATAAAAACACGGTTTTAGAGTAATGAAACGATAATGTATATTTAAAAGACGATTTATTGCTTTTTACAATTTTAAGAATAATTTAATTCCATCTCGTTAACACAACGCTAATAATTAACTAACCACTCTGCTCACTCTACGTACTCTGCACTGACTCGTGTCCTCGACCCTTAAAAATTTCGATTTTAAATATTTTAAAACTAAATTTTTTACTTACCTTAATTATACTTACCTTGCAATACTTACCCGAATTCCTCTTAATTTACATATTACTTTATCAGATATTGCCCACTCTCTATTTTCAAAGTTCAAATGAAACATTGAAAATTTACAAGAGATAGAAAATATCTTAAACTTTGTGCGTAGCTCTTAGCTTGGTATCGTTTTACAAAGAGAAGTCTTTGGAAAACGATACCAATTACCAGGTCTCACCACGTGGAGGTGGCTACGCATCGAGACCCGACATGCGCCCTAGTGGCGCAGCCTGCTGGCGCTATCCGTATCAAAGATATCTAATCTAACCTGAAGCGAATTAAGCTAAAACGACTCTAATATTTCTATGTTCCCACAAATTGGGGAAGCAAAGAAAAACTAAGTTACAATCGCGACGCGCCCGAACGAGTTTACGATTATTCGAAAGACCGACTAGTCGACGCGACGTACTCTCGTGTACAAGACAACTTCATACCTCGGCACCCTC